CCTGGATTGTTGTTATCGATTTTTGTCAGTGAAAAGAACCAAGGTTCTTTTGGTCGGGAGTGTTACGGGAGGAATAAAGACGTTTGGCTGATTAAAACCTTTATATAAATATCATTAATTTCACTGTGTTTTTTGCCTATATTTGTTTTACTTAACTTATGAACTTGTTTGAATTATTACTTTCGGTCATTTTTGCGACTCTTGTTTGTCTTGGTTGTTCGTTTGCAGTTTTTTGCTCCAGGAATCTATAAAATAGAAGGTAATTGTAATTATTATAATTATTGCCGTTAGAACGACATTGATCGTCTATTTGTAATAAACGAACGACATTTTGGTCGATTATTTGTGAATTGACAATAAACTTTGGTACCTAACTTTGGAATTTGGTTTTACCTTGATTTGGGATCGTGAATTGCAAATAGATCGACACACAGTGCTTCTAAGGATCAAGGAGCAAAAAATTGGACGTAACAAGAAATGTACCACAATAATCGGCATAAATACATTACCATGATCCATAAGATGTAGGCCAGGCACCCCAAATTGATTTATCTAAACAGGCAGGATAGTTTTTCGACTTTTGATTGATATCAGCATCAATATCAGGGCACCGTAAAGCCTAGTGAGTAGGTTATTTCATTTTCACCGCTCCCAGATAATTGGAGTCAAAATAATTTAATACCACGAATTTGTGTTGCAGAAATAAATATCCTATCAAAAAAGCACAAAATGCCCTCTAAATGCTATAATATATCCTCCATCTTTTTGTAAAACTCAGGAAAGCCACACTTGCATTGAAAAATTCAACCTCTTTTCAATGCACTTATAACTGTTTCAAAGTGCTTGTGAGTATTATTGACAAGTTCTCACTTATCAAAAGACAATAGTGGAACTAACATACAATCCTTTCTGTTAGCTGGCCTTTCAAAGTTTCGACACCGTGATAGACATTTTGCATATGGCATGCTTTTAACCATTTCGTTCTCAGTGGTAAAATCATTAGCATTTGATTCCTAATTCGATCCCTTAATCATGACCAGCGATGATCGATGGAGTGACTTAATATGATGGTAAATAAACTTTAACGCTTGATGATCAGTTACAATATGGGATTTCATACCAAACAAGTGATTATACAACCTTCTTACTATCCATACTATAGTTAAACCCTCCTTATGAATCTGAGAGTATTCATGCTCACACTTGCTCAACTGCTTCGAAATGAAAACAACAGGTCTCACATTCAGCTCTAAAACCGTACCTAGCCGCAAAGCAGATGTATCGCTACTGAGAATGGATTATTCGAATAGCGAGAATGATCTGAGAAAGGCTTTGCTATTTAAGAATTGTAGATATTTCTCAATATATCCTCTTGTCTTTCACCCATATAAATTCTACTACAAGCCAGGTCAAAAGGTGGCCTTTATATTTGTGTAAAGTTGAAATATACATGCAATGAAACTAAAGAGCACCAATCCATGATCTCACCACTGAGACACTCTGAGTGATGATGCTTCGATAAGTGGGGCCGGGAGACATATTTCACCTTTAAAACCTCTAGCATTCACAGCAAAGCCTGGACAGTTGATAGAATTAAGTTGAACAAGACACTAGGATAGATTTAGGGCCACACTTGTATCACAAAAGTATACGAATAACTCTAGAAGATATTCATTAAGCAACTCAAAAGGTATCATCTTGATACGATTCAGCAACATTCAGACCGGTAACAGCCTGATTGATTATCTGGAATATCTCAAGCAAAACATTTGATCTAAATGACAGGAATAGGAATCTGGATGGCCCAAATGGCATATTAAAAGTGATTACTTCACCAGAGATTTCATCCAGAGGAACTAGTATATAAGCATTTTTGACAACTATTTTAGAAACATACATTCACCCTGGCAATTTATGTATTATTCTGTCATTTTCTTCATTGATACAAATCTGCCGCAGTAACCAAGTGTTTAACGTCCATCAGTACTCACCAAACATCTTAGTTGCTTTTCCTTCTGCTTTTTGTTGTATCAAAGTTAATATTCGCTTATTACCGTTATTTTAGAATAAGTACATTTAAAATTTTGATCAGCGAAATAGTTCGATCATGATAATGAGCCAACATATTTATTAGAAGCATACATCATGCATGTCAGTTAATGCATTTGAAATATTCTAACATATTTAAAGTACTTTACGCCTCCTACTAAAATAATTTTGTAAAAGTAAATGAGCAAGCCAATAGAAGCAAGGCAATAATGCACTAGCCAAACATCCTGGGTTGTCACAGAAGCCGAAATAGAAAGAAAAGTAATTTTATGACAACCTACATTTAAACAAAAGTACATGCAATGTTAAATATTTATATCTATTTCAGTGACTAGGTTGGCCATCAAGGTGTGATGAGAAATTTAACCCATATAATGTTATTGTACAAGATGATATTACAATAGAGCCTTATGTGTACAGGGAGATTTTAACACATTTTTGGTGCTTAATTTAAAAATATCGCTAACCATTTCAAGGGATCAGGGTTAATGATAATTATAAATTAAAATATGTACATTTATAGATGAGTTAACATAAATAATGATTTGAATTAGAAGAAAGTTGGAAGCTATTATAAATATTTTAGATGCAAAATCTTAAAAGATACGTTTTCAGCCAACGTTCACTAAATGGGGTAAAAGAATTGGGAACCATTTCATTTTGAACACAAAGCATCATTTATGAACTTGATAGACATTTTTTTAAGAAATCAAAGAAAATAGTTTGGATGTCTTTTGTCAGTCACCTTTGAATGTTTCGATGTATGTACGTCAAAAAGCATAAGAATATAACTAGTTTTTATACTTGATGAATGCATACTTTAAAAATTATTATTCCAATTATATCAGTGGTTGCCCCATTGAAGCCAATAGTACTGGACTCCTCGTAAAACTAAAGTCGGTGGAGGCGGAGTGACACTGTTAGCTGATGTTCTTATCTTACATTACTTCTGACCACTAATCAGCTGTTATTATTTTTTTATTGATTCTGTAACATCTTACCAAAAGTTTCCATAAGTTAAGTGATTTCAGTGTTGACCAACTACTTTATTTAATGAATTTTTTTCAACAGTTTTTAATCGTTTGAGTAAATGAACTACTCTAGATATCGAGTTCAATTATCGACGCCATCTTAATTGGTCTGTTTGAGAAATAGATAAGAATAAAACCACTTTCTAACCAGTTCTCTTCTTTCTTCAGCTCAAACGTATATCCTCGTATATATTCTTAGAGAATCAACTTTCTACTTCCCAAATTATCATAGAAATACTACACATACATCATTTATCATTTCTACTTCTAACAAAAACGAAAAATTAATTGAAGTGCACTATACATCAGATGTAAACCTCATATCAGCCCGTAAGAAAAACTACGGGATTTCCAAAACATTATTTTGTAGATAAAAATCCGAATTCAATGCGTTTTTCGGTTTATATGTATATATAAATATATACATACATATATGTATATTTATGTATGTAAATAAGGCTGCAAGAGACGCAAACTTCAGTCAATTGTACGATACAACAAAAAAGCTCGCTGGGAACCATTGTAAACCAGAAGGACTAGTGAAAAGCAAGGAAGGTAAAGTAATCAGCAACACTGAAGAACAGCGAAACAGGTGGGTAGAGCACTTTAAGAAACGCCGAAGTGGCATCTACCGACCTCCAAATTGAAGGGATCAGAACATTATCATCAACAAGAGAAACAAATCACCACTCTACCTCAAATTCATCAACTACGAGAAAGAATTCGATAGCGTGGACAAGAAAATACTATGTAAACTTCCTCGACACTAAGGCGTGACTGAGAAAGTAGTCAAAATCATACGGAATTATTATGATGGATTATACTGCAAAATCGTGCACGGAATTCAGCTGGCAAACTCGCTTGAGGTGAATACCAGTGTGAGGCAAAGTTGCTTACTGTCACCCTTCTCTTTCACCTGGTTATAAACTGGATTATGAAGATGTCCGCATCTGAAAGGAAGCACGGTATCAAATGGACAGCACCAAACTGTGTCGCAAGACAAGCACTCATATGGAAACCTCAAGGTCAAAGGAAAAGAGGAAGGTCAAGGAACATATTACGCCCAGAAATCGAGAAAGACATGAGACGAATGAACAAAAACTGGAAAGAACTGGAAAGGGAAGCCCAGGACAGACTTGGCTGGAGAAAACTGGTGTGCGGCCTATGCTCCATTGAATGTAACAGGCGTAAGTAAGTAAGTAAGTAATATAAAAACAGATTCACCACTTTTCATTTTCTTTGCTTATCTACATTCCGCGATCAATTCCAATTGTCAGAGAAAACTAAACTAACATAAATATAATGAGATTCGTGGAAAAGCGACAATTACATACACATCAGCTTGTCAATATTCCAATTATTTAAAAATCATCATTCATTTGAGATGACAGAATAACATCCAATATTAAAAATATTTCAAACTCCTGAAACAACAGACACTAATTCTTTGAAAGTTCAGCTTTTTACCTACAGAAATTATGATCAGCTTCACATTATACTGTTTCTTATACACTTTCATTGAGTTAATAAACTTTCCCCTTTCATACAGTTTTCATAATATTGATTGACATCCAAATCATACATTTGACTTTATATGCTGTGTTGATGATCTGCATAACATAATATGCATCTTTACTTAGTTCAAATTCAGTTGACTAAATATTTATCACTGACAGTTATGTAATTGTTATCATCATATTTCTATTGAAGCTTAGAATATATCAAAGTATAAGTTGACTTTATTGCATTTGTGTTACGCTGATTATCTATTTATCAATTAAATATTTATAAATGGTTTGATGGTTTGATTGACACTGTCACTTTCGTATGAAACATAAAATATTATTGAGAAGAAATCAGCTGTTTCATTTATAATCATAAATAATATTGCAGTGCACTGAGTGCACTTAAAACATTATTTATAAATCATGTTGTTACAGTGACGTACTTTATTTTGTTACTAGAAAAAGAGCTCTACATAATGGAAATAAAAATGAAATTGAAGATGTTGATATTTCTATCATTTGTGACAACAATTTCAACCCAGCGGGAAGAGAAATTTAAAGATAGTAATGAAAAGACCACAGTACTTGACCAAAAAACAAAGAATACACGGGAAAAAATGCATGGAGAAGAACATGAGTTTGATAAAGGAGGAAAAGTGGGTAGAAATGGAGAAATCGAAGCACGTATATCAACAGGAGGCATTAAATCAAAATATCGACGCAGAAAAACTTCAGATCTCCTGGCAAAGGGGAAGTTTCGATCACGTGGTATCAAAACATACGGTGTAGTTTCATCTGAATATGAACATTTTCTAATTGAAGAGAAGTTGGATAAATATGGTCGAGCGAAACCTGTGAGATCAAAATTCAAAAATCGTGGAAAACAAAAGAAATATTCTAAAAAGATTGCTGACAATCGATTCATTATTCAAGGTGGTTTGATTCAAGAGAAGAAGCACAAAAAATATGGTCTTTATCACGCAAATGGTAGCCATGTGACTCTCAGTCTTCAACTTGAAAATGAGAAGGATAGTAACGTTAGAGCAGGACGAGGCGAGACCAGAAGTAACGATAAGCAAGAGAAGAATACAGAATCAGTCAGAACCTCAGATGATATGAGGAGGACACATCAACTTTTATGAAAATAGAAAATTTTAGTATATCAAAAATAATACAGTGTGTTTGACATTGAATTTAGCAGACCATGAGTTAGCTGATATTTAAGCGAACTAAAAAATATAATACGAAAATAAACTTCCTTTTTATTCCATTTATTACAATTAAACTAACCACATTTCCGAAAAACCGGCAGTGAGGATACAAATATTAATTGAACTGGATGAGTTCATTACATACGATCGTTCATAAAGACTGATATGAGGATAAATAGTGGAAAAACAAAACAAAGTGGCGTCCATCCATGAACCAACTCAATTTGATGAGACATTACTAACTATTGTAGATGAATTTTCTACCGTAGCAGTTCACTTTGATTCCAGTAGGTGCAGGTCGAACGCGCCCTCCCCTAGTCCAATATCAGAACACAATAATTCTAGGAGAAAGTGGTCTATTATTATAATGAAATGGAAATACAAACATTTACCTGACAATTAATACACCTTCCAAGTCGAAATTACCCTGATGGGTATCCAAATACAAAAGAATAAGTGATACCAGTATTAACTGCCTCGGTATCAAATCCAAATATGGCTGTAGCCATATTAAAGATCAAATTTAAACAACATGTGTACAGTTCAGAAGCAAACATAAAAACTTCAATATAAGTACAAAATATAGAAATAATAACAATATACAATGATAAAATCTCAAAATGGAATCAAATAAAGTACCAAAATGTTAACAGAAAGAGTCAGTCATATCGTAACACAAATATATATACATGGAGTGATTTTCCAAAAACAAAACATTCAAAATAGATTCTACACCGGCCCACAAAATCCCTCCATGCAAAAGACAAGCGCTTACTGACACTTCAATTTAGGGTTCACTCTCATCCCCTAATCCATACCGGAAGAACGTGTAGGACTTACAGCAGTACGCCTACCCGCCATCCAACATGGATATGACCTATCAAGCTAACTAGGTACCTGTACCTTCCCATCATGCCCTTGATTCCACTATCTATCGTAGCATGACCTAACGGTAGTATAAACCTTATCCAATTAACCCACACGAACATGTACAACACGTCGTAAAACTGGTCATATCCCATCCGGGAACTACATTCCATATCATGGGGATGAGTCGTCAATCCACCACCACTTGCTTCGAACGGCAGATACAACGAAGTCCGTGATGCTGACTTATCAACAGAAGTTCTTGACCCATAGATAATATGCAAGGGTGGGATCTCCAATTTTGATATTTCCTCGTCTCCCAAAGACTTTAAGTGGCATAAAATAGGAACAATATCTAACTCTCAATCTCCTGATACAGAGGAGGTTTGATCAGCATTCGTCTTCGGCGACAACTTATTTGTCACATCAGTGACATCCAATTTATTATCATCGTTATCATGATTCCGTTCTGTCAGACAAGTAGCGTCGTTTCTGGCTACACTGGAATCCGTAGAGGGAAACTCTTCCATTGTTGTATAACGCATCTCTCTACATGAAAGAACGGCATTAGTATTGCAATTCGAAACCGACAAACTCACTTGTTGTTCTTCATGTTCCGTTTCAGAGAGACCAGACATACGCACATCAATAGAATCGTTATCATGCAACACTGTAGATTGGCTGTTACCATCAGACGCTTCCTTCTCATCATCACTCGACTGACAGTCAACCGAAGTAGGAACAGTTACAGTTACATAACCTTGTGTATCCTCAATCAGCTTAGCATTCGCGGCAGGGTTCGATGACGTCAAAACACTAGTAAGTTCATTCGATGAAGTTGATCGACTAGTCACTATAGGCGGACTGCTCACACTTTCTGTCTTTTTACTATCGCTGTCACTACTAAGATTCTGATGACTACTATTTCCATTGTTAGTCATAGCATCCGAAAGAGAACGAAGTTTACTCTTCTTAATAATAGTAGCACCATGTTGATTCTTATGCTTCTTAGCTTGGGTAGCAGTATGTGAGCGTAACGTACGATCATTTCGACGACCATGAGTGTCTTTCAACTTCCACCGACCACTATTACTCGCAGGAGTATCATCAATGCTATCATCATTAGTAGCCTCAGCTGTGGAAGTAGTAGTACGCTTCTCATGACCTCCAGTCGACTCATGCACAGTGGCTAACTCTGCTCGATCAACATTGCTTTCCTTACTAGGAATGCTCTCAGCCTTATCTATCTTATCACTGTTGGTAGTGCTCATCCCGATACTTGTAGTACAAGTCAATGATGGTGGAGTGCGACAGGTGAACAATTCCGTCCTCGATTCCTCATGCTGCATATTCAACACAACAGCATGTCCATAAAACCTAGATGACTCCTCATTGCACCTAGGGTACCGAATGTTAGCCCCCTCAGTAGTGCCATCACTGTGGCTTAAGCTATTACCACCGACGTCTATATTCTCCACGCTGAAACATCCGATTTAGTCTTGATCCGAAGTACTCAAAGAAGCTACATTAGTAACATCAACCGAAGAAACAGCACTACCTATAGTGATTCCACTCTCGTTACCATCACGTTTATTATTCACATCAACTACACTATTAATAAATACATGGGGTTTCCCCTCCACCTCGACATTATTGTTGTCCACAATGATATTCTGACTATTCATAGTTAATGACGAGTTGCAAGATAGTTGGCATGCAGGCTTTAAAGCTAAGTTACCACTGCCACTTACACTATCAATGTTGCTATGACTACTTGGACCAGTATACAACTGTCCATCCGTTGACCGTAAACAAACATCAGCAGGACGCGCTAAGCTGCTATTATCTTCCAATTCAATATCATGATGCTAAAAAGAACTAGATATAGTAGCCTGCAGACATCCTGATTGCTCAGCAACATAAAGTGCTATGTCACTATATACGCTTGCTATCCTAGGACCAGCTCTAGGTCGAGTCAAATAACTTACCCTACGTGAAGGGTTCCGAACATAAGCTTTATTTCATCCAGCCAAACCTGTTTTGTCCTTATTCATATTTACTGAACTCACTAACCTCTGTTTGCTCAAATCCAAATAACCGTTCCTTGCTTTTCGAGCAGTTAAGAGGCTTTTACCATCACACGCCTCGGATCCATCCTGAAGCCTACCATTTTCACCCTTTTCTTTCTTTTCCATACTTATAAAAGCCATCTTATCTGCTACACAAACCGGCTTCTTACTAGGATACGCATCAAGTGGTTTTAAATCATCGCGGTCACACACTCGGTTTTCAACAGGGTATACTTTTCTGATACAATTAACGACTCTCTTAAATTCCGGGTGTGAAGTAGGTGTAAACGAAGAATCCTCATGTCTCGCACGCAGATCACTAATAGCTTCCGTACTATGTCCTGTTTTAGCACGATCAACTAATCTCCCGAACCTACTACTAGCTATCTTAGCACGAGACATAATAAAATCCGTCAATTCATTGAAATTAGGTTCTCTTTCCTCTTCGTCCCACTTTATTCCCAGCTGTGCCCACTGGGCTTGCATTCAATGAGGTAAGAGCCTAACTATTCGTTCTAAAGTTACTGGAGAATTTAGTTCTGCAATACAATTTAACTGTTCCATAGTAAGAGCAACGTTTTGCATTTTAATTGCTGATTCCGTCCGCATTTCCAGTTCTAAACAAGTCCTTCAGAGTTTCACGGGCTATCACATGCGATTGTCCAAAAAGCTGCTTTAAAAGAGCTTGAGCTCTTTTATATCCCACTTGTGGTTCCATTATAAGACAACCTTCAATCGCGTTTCTTGCTTTTCCTTTACAGTAGTGAATTAAATATAGTAAACGCAAATTATCATCCCTTACTATAGGTCCTATAAACGTCTCAAACTGCTTAACGAACCTGAAGTAGTCTTGGCATTTGCCGTCAAAGAATAGAAGTTCAACCTTTGGTAATTCTTTCCCAGGTACCTTAGAGTTCTCGTCCAAGTCTTGTTCCTTAGTGCCTCCTAAGAGTGACTTACAATAATAAGTATCAAACATAACATCATTACTGTTTGAAAGTGAACCCATTAAACAAGAAGAATCGTAAACGACTTGCCTAGCATTTCGGGATTCTTCATGCTCTTCCACCCTCTTCGTGTTTGTTTTCTTTCGACAGCTCATAATTAATTGAAGTTCAACGGAAGATAAATAACAAATACAAAATATAGAAATTTCACCGGTAAATCCTCGTTATTAAAAATTCAAAATCAGAAAATCGTTTTCCAAAATGCAGTTCGTTCAAAAAAAAGATAAGTAATCCAAAGTTCTTCTTCCAAGAAGTTTAATATTGTAAACGATTAAAATTCCAAATGTTTCCTTATTCTTCCTAATAATCAGACTGTAGTTGGCTTGTTCTTCTTAATTGTCAGACTGTAGCTGTTCTTAATTGTCAGACTGTAGATGAATTTTCTACCGTAGCAGTTCACTTTGATTCCAGTAGGTGCAGGTCGAACGCGCCCTCCCCTAGTCCAATATCAGAACACAATAATTCTAGGAGAAAGTGGTCTATTATTATAATGAAATGGAAATACAAACATTTACCTGACAATTAATACACCTTCCAAGTCGAAATTACCCTGATGGGTATCCAAATACAAAAGAATAAGTGATACCAGTATTAACTGCCTCGGTATCAAATCCAAATATGGCTGTAGCCATATTAAAGATCAAATTTAAACAACATGTGTACAGTTCAGAAGCAAACATAAAAACTTCAATATAAGTACAAAATATAGAAATAATAACAATATACAATGATAAAATCTCAAAATGGAATCAAATAAAGTACCAAAATGTTAACAGAAAGAGTCAGTCATATCGTAACACAAATATATATACATGGAGTGATTTTCCTAAAACAAAACATTCAAAAAAGATTCTACAACTATTTCTAATCAGACAGAAATAATCTAGATATGCGCTAAATGAAGTAGGCGATACACACATACATTCAAACAGAATCACACAAGAATATAAACGAATAATTAACAAAGTCAAAATACGTTTGATTAGGGACTCAAGGAGAGGTCAGTTTGTCTATCTTATAGATAGAAACATTCATTTAGGCTTAACATAATAATAAATATCACGAAGCCACCTTGTCGAAAACTGTACATTAGTTTGAAAAATAGCATAATTTCAAAATTACACTGTACAGCTTTGTGGCTAGCATTGACAATGTGCGTCGAAATATGTATGATTTTTGATACTATGCAATGACATATATGGTGTAAGTGCATCATACGAAAATGTCATACTCATAGAACAAAATATATGCATATCGTATAGGCGTAGACACGAATGTAATTGGTGGCATGACTGTCTAGACAAAAGATTACGCGTTCTGATGAGTAATTCGGAATAGTGCAGAAATAACACTTGATTAATGGTTTATCATTTGTGCATTTGAGATTAGAAGAAATTGCGAGCATAGGAAGTGCGAAAGACAATGAAATTTTGTCTGGTGTGCTTACAATACATAAGCATAGAGAATAATTAGATATGATCAAATTTCAATAAACTTCAATATAATTATGCGTTGATTATATATTGACGGCTCTGCAGTTATATAGCATAGAATTAATTTGCTCGACCGTTCATTCATAACTGCATTGTAAATGACATTGATTGTTGTACTGTGATTAGGAGTAATTCCAAAATGCGACGACAGTATTTATTGTCGTTGATATTTTGACCATATGCATCGAGTTGTCGTTGAATATGAATTATTAGAATGACCATAGATACAGAATAATGATCAGGGAAACGAGATACACCGAGTTGCTTTCCTATTTGATTGTGAACTCTAGCGTGGTTAAAGCCACTGAGAGGTAATGTGCAGAACACCTGTGTGAGGCAAGGTTGCTTACTGTCACCCTTCTCTTTCACCTGGTTATAAACTGGATTATGAAGATGTCCGCATCTGAAAGGAAGCACGGTATCAAATGGACAGCACCAAACTGTGTCGCAAGACAAGCACTCATATGGAAACCTCAAGGTCAAAGGAAAAGAGGAAGGTCAAGGAACATATTACGCCCAGAAATCGAGAAAGACATGAGACGAATGAACAAAAACTGGAAAGAACTGAAAAGGGAAGCCCAGGACAGACTTGGCTGGAGAAAACTGGTGTGCGGCCTATGCTCCATTGAATGTAACAGGCGTAAGTAAGTAAGTAAGTAATATAAAAACAGATTCACCACTTTTCATTTTCTTTGCTTATCTACATTCCGCGATCAATTCCAATTGTCAGAGAAAACTAAACTAACATAAATATAATGAGATTCGTGGAAAAGCGACAATTACATACACATCAGCTTGTCAATATTCCAATTATTTAAAAATCATCATTCATTTGAGATGACAGAATAACATCCAATATTAAAAATATTTCAAACTCCTGAAACAACAGACACTAATTCTTTGAAAGTTCAGCTTTTTACCTACAGAAATTATGATCAGCTTCACATTATACTGTTTCTTATACACTTTCATTGAGTTAATAAACTTTCCCCTTTCATACAGTTTTCATAATATTGATTGACATCCAAATCATACATTTGACTTTATATGCTGTGTTGATGATCTGCATAACATAATATGCATCTTTACTTAGTTCAAATTCAGTTGACTAAATATTTATCACTGACAGTTATGTAATTGTTATCATCATATTTCTATTGAAGCTTAGAATATATCAAAGTATAAGTTGACTTTATTGCATTTGTGTTACGCTGATTATCTATTTATCAATTAAATATTTATAAATGGTTTGATGGTTTGATTGACACTGTCACTTTCGTATGAAACATAAAATATTATTGAGAAGAAATCAGCTGTTTCATTTATAATCATAAATAATATTGCAGTGCACTGAGTGCACTTAAAACATTATTTATAAATCATGTTGTTACAGTGACGTACTTTATTTTGTTACTAGAAAAAGAGCTCTACATAATGGAAATAAAAATGAAATTGAAGATGTTGATATTTCTATCATTTGTGACAACAATTTCAACCCAGCGGGAAGAGAAATTTAAAGATAGTAATGAAAAGACCACAGTGCTTGGAGAAAAAACAAGGAATACACAGGACAGAATACATGGACATGAAAAGGAGATAAATACAAATGGAAAAATGGGTAGAAATGGAAGAATCGGAGCACGTATATCAACAGGAGGCATTAAATCAAAATATCGACGCAGAAAAACTTCAGATCTCCTGGCAAAGGGGAAGTTTCGATCACGTGGTATCAAAACATACGGTGTAGTTTCATCTGAATATGAACATTTTCTAATTGAAGAGAAGTTGGATAAATATGGTCGAGCGAAACCTGTGAGATCAAAATTCAAAAATCGTGGAAAACAAAAGAAATATTCTAAAAAGATTGCTGACAATCGATTCCTTATTAAAGGTGGTTTGATTCAAGAGAAGAAGCACAAAAAATATGGTCTTTATCACGCAAATGGTAGCCATGTGACTCTCAGTCTTCAACTTGAAAATAATAGGGGTAGTAACAATAGATCATCAGAGGGCTCAGCCAGACATAACGATAAACAAGAGAATAATACAGCAATAGCTAAAACCAGCGAGAGCAGGTCGCAAAGACATGCAGTTTCTGCAAAATAGAAAATTTTATTATATCAAAAAAACTGTGTTTGACTTTGAATTTAGCAGACCATAAGTTAGCTGATATTTAGACGAACAAAAAATATAATAGGAAAATAAACTTCCTTTTTATTCCATATATTACAATTAAACTAACCACATTTCCGAAAAACTAGCATAGAGAAAACAAAGATGGTTTGAACTGGATGAGTTCATTTCATACGATCGTTCACACAGACTGACATGAGGATAAATAGTGGAAAAGCAAAGCAAAGTGGCGACGATCAATGAACCAACTCAATTTGATGAGACATTACTAACTATTTCTAATCGGACAGAAATAATCTAGATATGCGCTAAATGAAGTAGGCGATACACACATACACTCAAACAGAATCATTCGAGTTTATAAATGAAATAACAGTTAACAAAGTCACAATTCATGTGAATACTGACTCAAGGAAATATTAAGTTGTTTATCTAAAAGCTATAACAAGTTATCAATTTATAACTCATTATTCCACACCCGGTGACATATCGGCCGCCATTTGTATTTCTTTCAAATAATCCTTTTTTCATAGCTATACACGTCAATACGCTTTTATTTATCAGTAAACTTTAAATTATATGTTATAATTCTCAGATATTCTTTCTTATCATTTATTTGTTTTATACAACCTTATGTTAGATGACCTCATTCTTATTACTATACTGCTGTGTAAAATAAGATATAATTAACATCATGTGAAATGATGATTGTTAAATGCCATAGAATAGCCGGATATATTGTAGACATATTTAAATGAACTTTTAAAAACCTATATAAGTAACTTATTGAAATAAACATCAGGGTATCAGTTTAGCTGATAATTTAAACATTCATCAAATACAATCAACATTTTCATATACGTTAGATTGACATCAGTTATAACTCAGACAGTTTTATTTATAAGATTACAGATGATATATAACATAATTATATGGGTTTCTATTTTCCTGTGTCAATCATTAACATTTATGTATCGAAATACACCATAAACATTACTCGGAAATGAGTTAATAGAGTTCATATATGAACTATGAAACATTTGAAAACTAACGTAATCAGATTGTAGAATTTAATTTGCTTACAGGTGAATTACATAAATAAGTCCGTATACTATCTCACCAATAGCTTTAACAAGACTATAATCAAAACAGATAACTAATTATATAGCCAACAATTATAATCTGTTGCTCGAATGTATATTCATACAGTTTGTACAAACTTAAAAATTAACGATCCGTTAGTCAAGTTCATGATACAATTTCTTGATGAGTAATTAAATAAAATCGAAGATCTTGAGTTCAAATCGTTCGAGATGTAGGAGGCGGATGCGCATGGCTGATAAGTCTCATACCAGAATGAAACGATCGTCTTTTGGTGCCTCCAGGTCTCTTTAACAACAATGATTGATGGATGATTTCAACGTGTAATTAAAAACGATCAGAATAATAACCAGTTTGAAGTTAAATGAATCTTAAGTCGTAGAGCATTTAATTCAAATTTTAATTATTGATCAACAAGTTGAAAGGATTAGAAAAGCATGATGTAATCAAATAATTCAATTAAATTTACATCAAGCTTTGATGACAATATTGTTCCCTGATTTGCATAATGAAACTTCTTGACATATCGTTTCATAAGCGTTTATCACACATGCGTTCTTTCTCTTTTAAGATCACTTGCGATAAGTGCATACACTTTTGTTGATTTCACTTTTAAAGGAAAACTCGATTGGGTAAGGAGCAAGATTCATTATTAAAATCAATTGTATCAGTGAACCTTTGATCGAATATTTATGTATTCATACTTTTGCCATATAAACTGACATTATACAATGGTCACGAGCTCTCCTCTTTCCGATCACCATCTTTCTTTGGCTGTTCTGTACCTTCTCTTATTCTCTGACATGTTTATATATTCCTTCGACACCAAAAAATTGCCTGCAAATACACCTAATTCATTTGGTTTATCACGTCTTTCTCCTCCTTATAAAAGATTTGGGATAACTTCTGAAATCCAAACTTAATTGGAATAGAGACCTGTTCATAGTCTATACCCTCATGATAATGAAACTGTACAGAAAGAACTATTCCATAAGATTTTCGTTTTACATGTATATTTCACAAATTTTCTTGAATTGTTTTTAACGCTTTTTCCAGATCATAACTAATTTAAAATGAACAGTAAATATTTATCAGCTTGATATGCGTACTTAGATAATAGATGATGTTTAACAAACATTGGCAATAATCCATTAAGTATGATAGTTTATAGATTTTACAGTTAGTTGACTCCATTAAGTTCGTATGATAATGATGTTAGTGATATCTTATTTATTTCGCACGTACTCTGTCGGCAAATCTCGCTACTAACATCATATAAAAGTCAAATGTAAAAATTTTTGAGGGACGTATAATTCAAGTGATCGATAATAAACGGAGATAAATGGATTTGAGTTGGAGAGACAGAAGTTATTAACCCAATGAGTTTTTATGAGAATGAAAGAGATACAAAGAAGCATACACAAAGTGTTACTATACACAAATGTTTGGATTTATACGTAAGGTGACAAGTGCGAATAATTTTGTGATTGAATAACCTGGATTATTTGAATTACTAGTGAAAATAAACCATACTGACGGATTTCAATAAAGAAGTCAGAATAAGGTAAGCGCTCTAATGAAGCACAAATGCACTTATACGAAGGAACTGTACCATTAAAGCACCATTCAAGAAAAAGAAAGAAGGGATAAAAATTATTGTCATTCAGTGTTACCGGCAAATTCAACAAATTCAAGCTAGCTCTCAGCAATACATCTCTGGACTTTCAAGACCTACCCACTGAAGTGAAAACTACAATGGTAAACAGCTGGAAAGGGGTTAAAGTAGCGATCACTTCAACATGTCATGAGGTTTATGGCCACAAGAATAACTATCATAAGGAATAGATAGCAGTTCAAACACGTGAGAGCTTATTTACACTTAATTTGCTTGAGACGTTTTCTTAACTTACTTAACATACAATGTCATTGATATGGTGACAACCTTTATATATCATTGTACTTTTATTAAAGTCGAGTTTTCATGAGTATGCATGACTGGGTACTGATTACCGCCCAGAAACATATTCATTCTACTCGCTTAAATTTTAGCCTCCTAAACGATTCGAAGACTCATTCATTTTCCTATGTATATATGTGTGCATTTTAATCCTACCTACTGCCTTGCTCTTCAGCTAACTCTTCAGCACCAGCATATCGTTCCTGCTTTCGTTTCATATACCTATCGTTTTGAGATCGATGAATTGCGATAATAAACGTCATCAAAATTTCGTATTCATCTTCTGATTTATAGTCTTTGTCGAAACTTACAAATGGAAGAAGCAAGTTTCTCAGGTACAACACAGCATGCAGCAACCAAATCACACTTGACTGCGAATCTGTAGAAGATGTGGAAACCTTTAAATACCTACAAGCATCATTGAAAAACAAGACCGATCCGATGCGAGCACGGATTCATGAAGTGAGGACAGGAGTCATTTCTACAATTAAACAACATCTGGAATTCAAAATGATTATCAAACAGCACCGAAGTCACAATTTTTAATACAAACATCGAAAAAACTCAGTTGTATGGTGCGGAAACTTAGAGAACCACGAAAGACATCACAAACAAAAGACAGGTATTTATTAACAACTGTCTATGCAAAAGACTAAGGACCCGTTGGCCAGACACTGTCAGCAACAACCTACGGTGAGAAAAAACATTCAATATTCCAGCAGAGGAAGAAATTTAATACATACGTTGGAGGTAGATAGGACATGTAGGGAATTGGAACTACTTATAGCGAGATAACCAAGTTAAATCCTGTTACGGCTGTAATTGGAGGTAAAGGTATATCTGTGGTGGTGTTTCGTTCTCTGAGCTCATCCACCTGAGCTACAAGTTTATTAAGGATCACATTATATCGAAAAAATATCGAGATCTCAATAAAAACCATGGGCGAAACCATCGAGGCGACCGAGCAACTTCAACGACACGTGATGCCGGCAATTATGGTTTTTTAGTACAGTTAAATAAAAGAGTACGGTGAAACGATCACTAGTACAATCGGCTACAATAATGAATGTTTCTATTAAACCACTTGCGTTCTACTCATAAAAAGGTAATTCACTACAGACACACATTTTATAAACCACCAAACTACATCACAAGACATGCCCCAACACGAACCCTTCAAGTTCAAAGGGAAAGAGGTGGATCGGAGAATGCAATACGACGAGAATCGGAAGCAAAAATGAAAAGAATGGACAACAACTGGATAGAACTGGAAAGTACGGCCCAGGATAAAATTGGTTGCAGAATGCTGCTTGGCGGCCTATGATCCATTAGGATTAAGAGACGTAGATACTGTGCCTGGTTAATGTTGTTGACATAGCTAAAAGTGTCCTGTCACTCTAATTCCTTATCATAAATCGGAACCAACACGTTTATTTCAAGTTTATAAAATAAAGTTGACGAAACATAATCTCACTATAGTTGATGAATACCATCAACTGAATTCTTAATCCCAACGTTTAGCTCTATTTTGATTCCATCAGTCTAAATCAAGCTGTTTGCATTTTAATTGATATCTTATGGTTTTAACCTCGAACCATACAACTAATCCAACTCTCAAATACTTACATTTTACCACTTTACTATACGATTACGTATAATTCAATATGTAAAGTTTTAATTATCATATAAAAACCACTATTCCACCGTTATTTTATTGCTTTTTACTGTTGAATAACTTTTCTCCAGATAGTACTTCATAATTGGGTAGTAAGTCACTCAGAGTCGTCAGTTTTGCTTGCTCTCGCCAACATCTTGAAGTGATTTCACTTTTGCCAAGAAAGTACAACTGGTTAAATAGCAACATTCATTAGTATAGCCAATTGTACCAGGCATCGTTCTACCGAAAATTTCCACCTTTCCGGTTGCCGTCTTACTTTTGTTACTCTGTACATCCTCTGTTCGCTGGTACTATTCGATATTCTTTCGATACCACGAAATTTCCAGCAAGTATACTTATTAGATTTGGATTATCGCATCTTCGTTTTTCCTCAATAAAAGACTTGAGATAACGCTTAGGACCCGAACGTATTTCGTCTATAGACGTGTTCATAGTCATTCGACTCGAACACTCATATTGTAAAGCCCGATTTCGGTTGGTCTATTTATATATCCCAAATTTTTTCCCTAGCTCTAATGATATCTCCCAATATGTGAAATATTTACAACAAAATTTCAAAATGGTTTACAATCGCAAAACTCCCGGTAACATAATGGACTCCGAGGTTAAGGTCCTAACTTTTCAACGTGTACCCTTTCTTCACCACGATCCAAAGGTCCGACTTGCGGGTCTAGAACTGAATTCGAGATATATATATCAAGCCAGGTTTCTATTGTGTACATTCGGTTGTTGAGCGTGTTCAGATGAACTTTATTCTTCCTAAACTAATTGTTTTTAATGTTTTATGTTGATCCAAAACATAATAATGCGTTCAATCACTCACTT